CAGTACAGCTCTCGATACTGGAATATACTGTACTGGCAGCACGGCTCTCGGTACTGTACTGTACTGGACGTTTTAGTACGCAGTTAAATACTGGAATAAAAATACTGTACTGTACTAAACCTGCCCGTTTATATATTGATTTATATTTATATTGCAAAAGGCATGCGTGTAAATGCAAGGCATTGCCATGATGCGAGGCAGGTACTGTTGTGCAAAGTGTAGGCTGTTGTACAAAACTCTCGTTTCTGCCCCGTGCAACGCAGCCGTCAACGCTCACGTGGAGTCGATTCCTTCTCGGTGTTGAGGGCAGTGACCGTATTCTCGCACGGAACGGTCTGCTACGCTGATGGTGATAGTGCTGTCAAATGTTGCTGGTATTATATAGTCGGTTTAGGACGAACATGAACAACTCCACTCACCGGCGTATGATACCCAGATTACAACCCAGCAAGGTATGTTCGTCCCCACGCACAGGAGCATCCATTGCACGACGACTGATAGAGACAACAGGTAGCAGGTGAACCCGGTCAATATCACCAACTGGGGTGATCTCGCTGCAATCTCGAACTCATGCCGGAGGACGTGTAACCTCACTAGAAGGCCTATCCACACGACAGACCCGACGGCCGCAACTGCACCGAGACTCACAGCACAACTCCAAGCCCCCCAACCCATCTCTCCCTCGAGTGTGCGCGACTTCAGAACGACCAGTCCTTCGCTTAGGCTGGGAAAAGCAATTTTTGCCTACATGCGGTTCGGACATGTTATTCGGGCCGTCCCTGCCTCTCACGCAGGGTCGGCAACCATCGGGATTTTTTGTACAAGGACGTAGGTCCTTTTGCTGACGGAATTGCGGCGAAACTCTGTACACTGATAAAAAAAAAAGGAGCCGAGCAGCAACAGCAGTTCCGGCATCCATTTCGATGTGATGGACGTACATGTCCGGCCACTGAGAAGACTCCACCACGTCCCGTTCGACTGTGGGTATATCTCGAATGGGCAGTCTTTCTGAGCGTGTATTTATTTTTCCTTAATGTACACAGAGTACCTTCGGACTCCAGATTCCGCCAAAGTGCGCGGCGCCGCTCTCATGACGACCACCTGCAACGTACTGGCCTGTAGAGCGCCGTTTTTTCGATGCCATGGCAGCGTTGCCAAACCCTGAGTCAACCGGCGAGAAACCGTATGGTGTTGAAGGTCCGTACTAGAGGCACGAGCGGATTGACATCGTGAAGGATGCGCCACTTTCGGCATCTTGGTGGTCCACAAGTCTGTGTACAGTCTTCTTACAAAGCTCCAGAAACAAGAACTTTGGACCCTGTACATTTTATTTTATTTTCTCCCATCATTGGACTCTGTCGTCTGCCCCTCTGGCCCCTATCCTCCACTTCTAATAGCTAGACGACCCAACCGGGAGACCCCAACCGGGGTCACATAGGAAGGGGGGGCTGGACCACCTCCTGCGGTTCCTGCCTGAGGTATTTTTATCGCGAGAAGGGTTTTGCAATCCCTTCCCTCGCGACCTACGAAGTCGATTATGGTTTACCAACAACGAGCCTTGCAACGCGTTGCTTTCATCCTAGACCAGGATTTATTTAGTGAGGAAAATACTCACTCTGCCGGGACTCGAACCCATGACCTGGCCCTTAGCAGGCTGCGAGGTTACCTACTAGACCACCGGGGCGACCGGTAGATATTCTCTGCTGGTTTCTTCGATCACGCACCGTGGATTTTAGACATGTACCTAACCGTGCATCTCTTCGAGCGAGTGAACTCTAGGGAGCATGTGTGAGAGCTACGTGCCGGCCCGCATCGACAACGCTCTTCTAGGGACCACCGCCTCCGTGGAAGCTGTCTGTGTGTACAATCGATCCCCACACTCAACACGCCAGTCCCGCTCGCAACGTGCACGAGGTATACGCTCTCCCCATGTGCACTTTCCATCCTGCGGCGGCAGTATTCCCGAGATCGGTGTTGGTTGGCTGTCGGCTATGTCCCTATATTATTGGTACTGGCTTCCATAAGCTGACTGATTGTCGCGCGCTGTTTGCATCTCAACGTGGTGTGCATCGCATGTACACTAAACTACTATTTGTTAGCCTCGACCGCGCAAAGCGGCTGATCAATCGCGCCTGTCTCTGCTTACCCGCTCTCCCCACGATACACACATACACACTCTCAGGTCCATCGGTCATCACCCCCCTTTACATCTGCCGTCAACAAAACGGATGCTGGCTTGTGCTGGCGCTTTAATTTTTCAATCCTCGGCCGTGCCTAAACTATTGTTTCTGCGTTCCTAGTAGTTGGCGTTGGCAAATCAAGTCGCGACTCTTCTCACACACGCTCCACGACCAGTCTCCCTCCCACCCGCGCTTTGTACTAGGCAAGCCTCCATACCCTCTCTGTATGCCCCCGCGTCATGTCGTCGAAAGGAGGATCTTCACTGACCACCTTACCCCGGCCAACACATATCCCGTTCATGGAGTTGCGACAACAAACCGTGCATGAACCACGGCGTGCACAAAACGAAGTGTCCGCTGCTTGCCCCGCTCTGGAATACGGGAACGAGCGAAGACACGTCCCTGCTCATATCTTGTCGCGACCCCTCGACACCGCGGATAACTCACCGACAAGCACAACGGAGATGATGAGGAACGCTTCAGATCGGGCGGGGGGCGGAACAAACAACCACGATTGGACCCAACATGTTGAACTGATAAAAATAGCAAAAAAAAAAAATGCATCGGATTGCATGGGAACAACTACTACAGAAACTCTTTCAAGAGCGAACAGCCCTTACGAACGCCTCGGTGCTGCTGTTCCTGCTTCTTTTCGCTCCCCCTCCCGCCCCTTCCCCTCTACCGCTACCCGCCCCGCCTCCATTGACCAGAGCGTCAAGGTCACCGTCATCATCCTCATCATCCCCGGGCCCTCGAGACCGGGGGCGCTTCGCGGGCGTCCCCGCTGGTGCGGTGCCGCCCCCACGGGACGACACGGCGCTGGAAACCCCGCTGCTGCCGATGCCGCCGCTGCCGCCGCCGCTTTCGCGTCGTGATTGGCCGGAGCGCGAGCTCGACGACGACGTGGTTGACTGTGTAAACGATGCCACGGGAGGCGGACGCGCCCTCGCGGCTTCAAGGCTTGAGAAGGCTGTCTCCACCTTGTACACCAGGCGCTGCACGCGCAAAACCTGCGGACGGTGTCGGGGAGTAGGGGTTAAGTGCCGGTGCTGGATGTGGAGGGGAAGAGAGTGGGAGGTGGGCAGGGATAGATGCCGTTCGAAGTGTGCCTCGAGCATGGCCCCTCCAAGCAAAAAATGTAACAAATACCATGTGGTTCCCAAGCACGAGATACGCGTGCACGAAAAAGGGGTAGTAGAAGCGTTGAACCACCCCAAGGCTATTGTAGCAACTGCCTTCAATACATCTGACGCGCTTGAGTCGAGACGTACCGAACGAGCATATACGACACGAGCACGCTGACTCCCCGCCAAATACTGCTGCCCTCCCCCTCCCCTCCGTCTTTCGACGGGAGATTTATCTTGGCTTCAGGGAGCTCGTGCAGAGAAAGCACGGCAAAGGGCCTGTTGCTGTGGAAAAATGAACCCACACTCGAGATGCCCACCCTAGGCCATTTGTCTCGTAGGTCACGCCAAGATCCTCCGATGGGTTCGTACAGGCCGTTTGACACCCGCCCCTTCGCGTCACTTGTATCGTGTCTATCCAACCCCACCTTGAACTACATAGTAACGGGTGGTTGTGCTGGCTCGTTCGCCTGCAGCCATCACCGCAGGCAAGTCCCCGTTCTACGCAACACGCGGCGCAAGCGAACACGCCTGTTGTGTCCACTTATCACATGCATCTCTGCCTGACCATTGTAACTCCCCATCATCTGCATCTCTGCCTGACCCATTGAATGTCTACCTGTCGACTTCCCTGAGCATCTCAACTTCCCACGGCGAACATCAAACAGAATCAGAGGAAAGAAAACAACGGGGCTTGCATCGTCTCAAGCCTCCGTAGGGAGAGTGAGGGCTTGCTCCCGAGACAGGGATTCATGACGCCAAGCTCACCTGTTTGTCGTTCAGCCCCGGGACCAGAAAGAAAGAGGAGTTCAGCTCAGCCGCATCCACCAGCTGGCGTAGCTTCTTGTGCCTCGCTGTCCCGCCGGTCAGCTGGATGTGGAAACACCGCCGTGGCATGTTGTGGTGGGTGTTTGGATTGCTGTTGGTGGTTGGTGGTCTCAACAAGAGCAAGCGGCCGTGTCCGCCCAAAAACACAAATCAGTATGTGCAGCCAGCCGACGGCTTCCGATTCAAGTCTACCCTAACGAAAACAAGCATGCAGCCGACGGCTTCTGATTCCAAGCAGTGGCACGTGTTGGATGCCAACAACATGTGAGTGCCCCCCGAGCGCTTACCGCACATGAAAAAAATGCGCACCTCTCCACCAACACCGAAAACATGCAATGCTGTGCTAACGAAAAGCTGTTCGAAACAAATCTACAGGACGCCTGCTAAACGTTCCAACGACGCCCCTGGCGCGGGCAACAGCGCCCACGCCGGCCGGCTGCGGCGCCTACTTGCCTTCCCTTCCCCTCTCCTTTTGTCCTTTTCCCGCTCCTTCTCCTCCGCCTGCAGCGACGCCTTGGCAATCATGCACCACTGCCGGCACCGCTCCTTCTCATCCCCGACCCCCCCGGGGCCTTCCCACGTCCCGGCGGCTTTCGCCAGCTCCATCTCCCACGGGGACAAAGGCTCCACCTTTGGATTATTCTCCTCCTCCTGCTCCTGCCGCGGGCCAGGTGGCGGCGGCGGCGGTGGGGGGGGCGGCGGGGGAGATTGCTGGGACCCCATCGGCGGCGGTGGCGGCGGTGGCAGCGACCTCCTCCCATTCTGCGAACCGTTCCGCGTTCCACCCTCTCCGGGGTCGGGACCGCCGGTTATGCCGGTGCCGGCGCCGCTGCCAATCTCCGGCGGCGGCGGGGGCGGCGGCGGGGCCGAAAACATGGCGGCGCCGCTGCCGCCGGCGGGTGGAGGGGGCGGGGGCGGCTCTCCGCCGCCGCCGGGCATGTGCGGACCACCACCGAGTTGCCCGCTGACTTGCTGCTGCTGATGCTGATGCTGTTGGTGCAAGCCCGGCGAAGGAGGGGGCGGGGGCGCGTTGCCGATCATCCCCGCGATCATCGGCGGCGGTAGTGGCGGCGGCACCGGAAAGGGCACAAACCTCGCTCCCCCGGCCCCAGGCACATCCAACGCCTGCTGCTGCTGCTGCTGCTGCTGCTGCTGCTGCTGCTGCTGCTGAGGTGGTGGCGGCGGCCCCTGCTGCATCGGGCGCGGCGGCGGCGGGGGCGGCGGCGGGGGGAGCGGGGGCAAGGGAGGGCCGCCGACAGGCGGACCCGGGTAGGGCGGAGGAGGGGCTCCAACCGGAGGCAACCCCGAGAGTTGCGGAGGCCTAGGGGGAGGGCCGGGGTGAGCCGGAGGTAGCAGCCGCGGCGGGGGCGGAGGTGGCGGCGCGACACCGGGGGGCGGCGGCGGCGGCGGCGGCGGCGGCGGCGGCGGCGGGGACGGGATATTGGCCAGCGGCGATGAGCGATCCCCGCCTCCGCCGCCGGATGACGGAATGTCTTCGGGCGGAGGGGGCCCAGGCGGCGGGGGAGGCGTGTCCCACAAAAACGCCTCCTCCTCGTCTTTTTCCGCCTGCGTTAGGTTCTGTGCCGTACCGTGAAGAGAGCGAACACGCAGGGGGGGGGGGGGGGGGGGGGGNNNNTACTCATAGTCGTGCATGCCGTAGTCGTTAGACCATTGACCTCACATCCCTACAAAGCCGGGACGGAGCACGCCGGGACGGAGCACGCCGCGTTCTCACCGGACCAGGCTCTCACATCACCAAGCGCGAAGCGCCGTGAGATATTCGGCGAGCGGCATGAAGGGTGCACTGCATCCTGCGCGGAGTGAGGGTTCTCGACCCCGCACAACACAATCTACTCGATCACCATTCATGGTTGCCGCAAAAAAAAAACAAAGGCGAAAAAAAAAGCGGTGACCTGGTTGCTGAGCTCAGGAAGTGATCGGCTTGTTTTACAACATCGCTGCCAAGCGACGAAAACCCAACCCCGAAGGAAAACACCGGGGGTGACGGCTTATTTTACAACGTCGTTGCCAAGCAAAAAAAAACAACCCCGATGGCAGACATCGCCTCCGGGGGGGGGGGAGAATACTCAAATTGTGCTGGCCTTGCAGGTCATCCAACTGGAACGTCTACAATCAGGAGTAAGCCATAGCAACACAGGGACGGGGGTTGATGTCAAACTCTGACCCTATACAGCTGGAGGGATACAAAAGTTGAGCCAGAGCTACGGTTCGCGTAGCCGAATCACAAAAACACGACATCACCCCAACGATGATGGACGCAGGACCGTCACGCGTCGGTTTGTCCTTAGCCCCTCAGCAGTCCTTACCGCCTGGATGTCCCGAAACGCACGCTCGACCATCTTGTAGTCGGGCTCTTGGAGAAACTTGCACTGCCTCAGCAGCTGCACCACCTGCCGGCCCAGCAGCCGCCGGGGACGATGGCCGCGAAAAAAACACGACGAGAAGCGGGCGGGGCACGCCCGAACGGCGCAAAACCACATCCAGAGAGAGAGAGAGAGACAGACAGACAGACAGACAGAGAGAGAAAGAGACACGAGAGAGAGAGACAGAAACGACCTGGTGTCAGTTGCTACAAGGAAAGCTCGTTTCCAACCCCACCCACGACAATGAGATGGGCCACGACAGTAGCAACAGGCAACGCAGATCGTCCGGCGTAAGCAGTCCTGCCGACCGAAAGACTTCCGGATGAACAACCACACGCGTGCGCCCCACGCCCCATGTGGAATGCTTTGACCCGCGTGAAGGTTGGCTCTACAGGCCGGCGCCCCGTATTGCCATGTTGCCAGCAAAGCCATGCGCACGCTTATCGTGCTCGTGTGGATGAGTACGACGCAATCGCAACGTCGCACCGTTGTCGCCACCCCCAGAACCCAACGCTCTGATGAACGAGAACAGCAATCGTCGTACTCCGCCATGATTCCTCCAAATCACTCTTGCCCCCTTACCATGATGGTGTGTGTGCGCACGAGGTCGTTGGTCGTGAAGTTGCTGTCAAAGTAGTGCCTCTTCATCTCCGTCGTCTCCTTCTTCTCCTTTCTCCTGGCCTGTAAACAAGGACACGACAAAACGTTAGCCAAGCGACCACGGACGAAATGCAAGAGGCCTCTCAAGGTAGCGCACAAATCTCTGCTCCTGAACGGAAATAACATCCACACGTTTGAATTCTCTGCACTTGCAAAACAAGCTCTTGGATCTCTGATTCATTCCCACAGTCTTTAGCATTTGCCAACCACGTCTATAGCAGTACCTCTTAGAGAGCCGTGGCCAGGAGGTTGCGCGCCCCGCAAAACGTACACTGTACCGCAAAAAAGTCTTCTCCGCGGCCTGGAGGACTCATTGTAAGGACCAACATACACTCCCGCAAGATAACCCATCACACACCCCTGCCAGATACTCACGTGCTCAGCCCACGGGAGCTTGCCGGTGTAGAGGTCGAGGAAGACATACAGCAGGCTCTCGAGGTCGTCCTTGCGGCTCTGGTCCCTCTCCTCGTGAGCTCCCAGAGAGGCATACCTTGCGGACAACGGACAGGGGATGGGATACACAGCGACAACGTGTAATGACGAGACAGCGGAAAGGGGCAGAGCGGGGTAGAGGTTGGGATTCCTTACATCGGCTGCGGGATCAGCCCACCGCAGTGTCAAAACCAATTCCACAGCAAGTCTCGCGCCAACTCCAGGTGCAGAGAAACGCAAACCACGATAGGGCAGTTTGGCCGGGGGAGGAGCGCAAAATCGACTTTAGATGCAGAGCGATAAACCACAGCCGGCAACGAGAGGGAGGGTCTCACATGCTGGTGCCTCGGAACTCTGCCCTTTCTCTTTCCTGCCGCATCCCACCCGACTCGGACTTGAACTGCTTTGCCAGGCCTTGCGGAGTCATGACAGGGAACAAGGCAGAGTTGTAGGACAGTAGCGGCGGAGATAACGGCCAGCAGGGGCCCTCTCATTGTTGTTTCTGTTATGAGTCATTCGAAGTCGAGCCCCTCCCGAGACGAACTCATTGTCCTGTTCTTACACACCAAGCAATCAGGTGCTAGCTACGTGTGTGTGTGTGGGTGGGTGGGTGGGTGGGTGGGGGGAAGTTCCGCTGGCTATCTACAACAAAATCGAGCAAGCCCAGGCGGCGGGAGGATTCAGGCGCGGAAATCAGGCCTCGTAGATTAGAGGGTGAATTTCGAACAGAAGGCCTGTTGTGGTGCTCCATCCGGCAGCAGTCGAGAACGTCAAGTTTTGAAACAGCTGCTAGAGTAGGCAAGGAGCCAGCAAAGAACACCTGCTTCGACGAACACAGCGGCAGCAACAGCAACTGCAACAGCAACTGCAACAACACCAACTCGAACACCATCGTCCCCTAAAACAACAGTTGCGCATGCAGAGCACAAGGGGCAAGAAGGCTTCTCACCGAAGTCGATGATGACGAACTCTTTCCCGTTCTTTTTTCGGCGGACGAAGTTCGCCGGCTTCACGTCCCGGTGAAGGTAGCCGCAGCTGTGCACCCCCTTCAGGCACTCGAGCATCTGCGGTGAGACGGCAGCAGCAGCAGCAGCAGCAGTTGCAGCAGTAGCAGCAGTAGCAGAGGACAAATCAACATCATCCTGGTGGTCAAAACCCACGAAACTGCCGTACACACTGACAATGTCCTTGAGATACACATAGCATCATCTGCAAGGCACAGCATACCATACCAGGCCGAAACCTGCGCACAATGGTGGTGCGACAACCCAGCAGCAGCGGATATTGCAAGCAGCTGCCGACAGCTGAGCCTGTACACAAACCAGACCGACCACAACAGTCCAGGAAGCGGGAGGATTCACCGACGCTCATGGAACGATGACGACGACGACACCATACCCAACCACAACCACCACCACCAGGAACAGCACTACAACAATATCATCATCACTAACAACAACAACAACAACAACAACGACAACAACAACAACATCCACGAAGGAGACGGCCCCAACCGCTCCCTTCAAGAGAGCAGATGGGCCTTAAGAATCCTCACCTGGAGAGCGAGGTCGCAGCACACACCCAGGGGCAGCCCGCCGGGGCGCTGGCTGGCCAGGGAACCCGGGATCGCTTTGGGCTGCCGGTGCCTGACAAGTTTGGCATTACCACGAGGATTACCACACACGACAAATATCCCTCGTGGCGTGCGAGTATACGGCGGCATCTGTGACTTGCCGCCCTTGTGGGACACACAGGATGCATACCAGCAGCCGCAATAGCAGAAAGCGTTCGCCTCAAGAAAAACAGAACAATATCATCCAGCGCTCGTTTTCGGGCCCATGTAGGTATCACCCACCATCCACTGCAAGCAAGTTAGACGGTGTTTCAATTGTCGCAGGAGGGGACGTGGACAAACAATAAGAGTTGACTCTGACATCGAAAGCCAAGCTGTGTGGAGGAGAGTATTTCTCCACAAAACACGCAACAGAGAGAGTGGCGGACGAGATCGGAAGCACCTCAAACGACTAAAGGCGACAGCGACAGCTACAGCGATAGCGACAGCGAACACACCTGAGCGCGCTCATGTCTTCCCCGGAGAGCAGCTCCATGACAAGCACGTCCTTGTTTCCGTGCTTCCCGAAAAGGTAGTGCCTCGGCACGCAGGATAAGCTCTGGAGGTCTTCCACCACTTGGTTCTCCCACTGAATAAATAACGGCGGGACGGGCAAGCGTTGCGATACGACAAGAAAAACGTGAGCCGGGCCGTCGGCAGGCATGCGTGCTAACAACAACGCATCCTCAGAGACGCGTGTTCCCTAGCCCCCGAGAAATCAGAGCGATAGGCCTGGACCTGAACCTCCCTCCCGTTTCCCCCCCCTGAATTCGGACGCGATAACAGAAATACAGAAATGTCCACGGTCGCCCGCCGCCTTCTCCCAGCAGCAGCAGCAGCAACAAACAAGCGCCCCTTTCCCACCTCGAGAAGTGCCAATCGACCACCCCATCATCCAGACGCGCCACCTACCGCTGGTGGAGAGTCTCTTTAACTCGTACCAACAGTGCGGACACGGCATTGCGTGTACCGCGAATGTGCGGACCGCTTCGCGACAAATAGAATAAAGGAGGAAACAGAACAGCAGGGACGGTCGGGGGGTACGCAGGCGCTATCCCTGACCCCACGTTTCCCGATGGCGTGCTTTATCCAACATGTTTACAGAAAAACGAAATGCCTGCGGAGGCTACTGCAGTGTGTTGACCTATCAATGTAAAGTAACGGTCGCCCCGGTGGTCTGGTGTTATCCTCGTAATCCGCTAGTTGCAGAGGTCGTGAGCTCGAATCCCCATGGGGTGAAAAATTTACGAAATTTGTGGGTGAAAGCGAAACATAGCTAAAAAAAGCTCTCGTGACTACCAAACTTCGACGTTAGCACCGTTGACGAGGGAAAGGGACGGCTGGACCCTTCTCGCGATAAAAATAAAATTCAGCACGCACCGCAGGAGGAAGGTGGGGCATGAAAAGAAATAAAAAGAAGAAAAAAGCCCTGGTGTTTTCCCCCTCCTGTGTAACCCCGGATGGTTGTGGTTGTACGAAAAAATACACTGAAAAAGTGTAGTACTCTACATACGCTGAAAAGTGTAGTGCACGTCTCACCACGAAAAATGGGGGGACTGTTGCCATAATAAATAGGACGAAAACACACAACACCGTAAAGTAGATTCGCGGGGACAATCATACACACAAAAACGAAAACTAGAGGCCGCAACCTTGAGGACGGAGCGCTGCATGCCCTGGACCTCGACTTTGACCGCCGCCCCCTCGGACTTGCGGGTCAGGTCGGAGGCCCGGTGCAGCTCGCAGAAGGTGCCTTTGCCCAGCCGCTCCTCGATGCGCCATCGGTCCTTCACGACCTCCCCGCGCTTGAGCATGCTGCAGGCTCTTCCGGTCACGACGAACGCCGAGAGAAACCTGGAACTTACTACGAAATGATCGCAGCGGCAGCAGCAGCAGCAGCAGCAGCAGCAGCAGCAGCAGCAGCGTTTGTTCTCGATGTCCTGTTTCGAACAAAGGCAGGCGTAGGGCCGAAAAAACATACAATGGCTTCACGAAGGTTGAGGCATCCACCGAAGCGCGTACTGCTCTACCGAATGTGTGCGTTGGAGAGCTGCATGGGTGAGCGAGGACAGCCACACCGGGGAGAGGAGGGAAAATATCCGACCGGCTGTGTACACGCTCTAGTGGGTAGCCTCGCAGCCTGCTAAGGGCCAGGTCATGGGTTCGAGTCCCGACATAGTTTTTTCTCGCTATTTACATCCTGGTCTCCGTTGGAAGCGACGCGCTGCAAAGCTCGTTGTTAGTAAACTTGATCGACTTCATACGTCGCAAGGGAAGGGATTGATGTACCCTTCTCGCGATAAAAATATCTCAGGCAGGAACCGCAGGAGGGGATCCAACCCCCCCTTCCTATGTGACCCCGGTTGGGTCGTCTAGCTGGTAGAGGTGGAGGATAGGGGCCAGAGGGGCAGACGACAGAGTCCAACGATGAGAGACAACAAACAAACAAACAAAAAACGCTCCAAATCAGGAGGTGTGCGAAATGCCCGCGTCGAATTACAACGGCGTCGGAAGGGTCTTAACAAGAAAAACATACCTCCTTCGTTTGTCTTGCGCGAGAGGCGGCTGGCGGGGCCGCCGAAATACGAAGATTTGGAGGCGTCGACAAGTGGGGGTATGGTATCTTGTGTCATTGCGAAACACGGACAGGAATTGTCAAAGCCTCGGGGGATGAACCTCTACTTGGACTCAAGACCGTATCTACTCAACAGCAGTGCTGCAGAGTATCCTGTGCTGGCTGGACGTGACGAGCAACAAGGTGGGTACATGGACTCGCGGCCCGCAAACAACAGCGGTGTCGTGCGCTGTGCCGCACACCCAAGAAGATGGACGGAAATAAACTCCCATCAAAGAGCAGAACCGACGGGCGTACTCCTACGTGCAGGAAAATGCAGCTACCACCAGAGTCCGTTGTGGATCCTCACTACTGCTGTAGGAACGCCATTGGTTCGCAAAGAAGGGTGACAGCACCGGCAACGAAGGGTGTCAGCGTCAACGATCGAGGATGCCGGTGCTGCAGCTGGAAAGGGCGACTTTCTCTCTGCAAGAGAACGAGGGTTGGCGACATGTTCTCATCTGCACCCACTCGCACGCGAAAGTTTGCCGGAGAGAGATGTCACACGAGCAGAGAGTCAACAGGAAGAGTTGCACCCCGTGCATGGCTATCGCTTTGGATATGAACGCTGCTCTGCTGGGACCGTTCGAGGTCAAGCCGTATGCCTCCGCCTCCTCCCCACCCGGATAATGTCGAATATCCGTACAGGGACCATGTGACCATCTGTCCGATCAAGCCGGTTTTGCCATGATCACACACAATCTCCGTCGGCGGTCCCAGCGCAAGAGGAAAACTTAAGGACTCAAAGCAAGTATCTACCTCACCTACCTTGTTAGCAGCCAGGAGCAGGCGTCACAAGCGGGGTGTTGCGGCGTTGCAACACAGAAGGTGGCAAGCAGGTGGGCAGGGGGGGGGG